TACTTAAATAATCAACAAATTATTAACAAATATAAACAAAATGTTATGTAAAGCATGTAAACGCATAGCTCAACCTTCCGAAATTGAAGATTGCTTTGAAAAAGCTATTGATATAATAAAACACCATTATACTTGTAGGTTGAAGAATATTATAATACAACAACGTAATATTAATTATTATTTCTAGTTTATAAAAATGCCCTACAACAACGTGACTTAGAATTGCAACAAATCAAGGAACGCAATGAGAAACTTAACAAAGCTCTACAACCTCCTACAAAGGAATCATCAACCCCAACAGCAACAACAACAAACAACCTGCCAAACGTTTTAAGTCTCAACATAGTGATGATTCCTGGTTGGGTAATAATTCTTCACAGGAAGACCGTGTTACCTCAGACCTTAGTCTAACCGATGACGAACCTATGGGTGCTTCCAATCTAAATATGGCTCTTAATAGCGAACAACCTATTTGAGACGTCTGCTTAAGTCAATCAAAAAATGATGTTAGCATAACAACCTCATCGGAAATGGTGCCAAGTCCACGTGTAAAAGAGTCACCCAAGAGAAATAGACAACGGGACTCAATGCGTTGTTTGAAGGTTCACAATAAGTCTGTGGAGAGATCAAATCAGAATGGCATACCAAAGATCGTAAAAGTCCAGCGGAAAAAATCATGGACCATGAAATTTTACAACCGGAAAAAATGAAAGCCACAGAGGATAAAACTAATGCGGATGCAAAAAAAAGCGACAGCCGATAAGAGATTATGTTTGTCTTTGAGAAAACCAAATCCCAGCAAAGTGAAACAGTCGCTGTTAAATTTTAGTACATCTAAAGATGGAAGTTTTCGGGAGGTAAGTAGTGCAGTTTATCGATCTTTTATAAAATGAAGTCAAATTTAAACATTTGTGGTTTATCAGTGAGTGATGAACAAAATATAATTTATTTGTATCTCTCTGGCTATTCAGCTAGAGCCCTACCCTGTATGTTTAGGTTCGGAAATGGCGATGTCGATCGCTTATCTAATATCCTTCTTTATAGTGTGAATAAACTGTAATAGAACTTAAACTGAACCAGAACTGAACTAGAACTGAAAGAACTGAACTAGAACTGAACTAGAACTGAACTAGAACTGAACTAGAACTGAAATAGAACTGAACTAGAACTGAACTAGAACTGAACTAGAACTGAACTAGAACTGAACTAGAACTGAACTAGAACTGAACTAGAACTAAACAGAACTGAACTAGAACTGAATAGAACTGAACTAGAACTGAACTAGAACTGAACTAGAACTGAACTAGAACGAACTAGAACTGAACTAGAACTGAACTAGAACTGAACTAGAACTAAACTAGCACTGAACTAGAACTTAACTAGAACTGAATAGAACTGAACTAGAACTGAACTAGAACTGAACTGAACTAGAACTGAACTAGAACTGAACTAGAACTGAACTAGAACTGAACTAGAACTGAACTAGAACTGAACTAGAACTGAACTAGAACTGAACTAGAACTGAACTAGAACTAACTAGACTGAACTAGAACTAACTAGAACTGAACTAGAACTGAACTAGAACTGAACTAGAACTGAACTGAACTAGAACTGAACTAGAACTGAACTAGAACTGAACTAGAACTGAACTAGAACTGAACTAGAACTGAACTAGAACTGAATAGAACTGAACTAGAACTGAACTAGAACTGACTAGAACTGAACTAGAACTGAACTAGAACTGAATTAGAACTGAACTAGAACTGAACTAGAACTGAACTAGAACTAACTAGAACTGAACTAGAACTGAACTAGAACTGAACTAGAACTGAACTAGAACTGAACTAGAACTGAACTAGAACTGAACTAGAACTGAACTAGAACTGAACTAGAACTGAACTAGAACTGAACTAGAACTGAACTAGAACTGAACTAGAACTGAACTAGAACTGAACTAGAACTAGAACTGAACTAGAACTGAACTAGAACTGAACTAGAACTGAACTAGAACTGAACTAGAACTGAACTAGAACTGAACTAGAACTGAACTAGAACTGAACTAGAACTGAACTAGAACTGAACTAGAACTGAATTAGAACTGAACTAGAACTGAACTAGAACTGAACTAGAACTGAACCAGAACTGAACTAGTACTGAACTAGAACTGAACTAGAACTGAAGTAGAACTGAACTAGAACTGAACTAGAACTGAACAAGAACTGAACTAGAACTGAACTAGAACTGAACTAGAACTAAACTAGAACTGAACTAGAACTAAAACTGATCCAGAACTGAACTAGAACTGAACTTTTGCTAGACCAGATCTAAACTTAAACTGAATAAAAAAATTCTGTAGATAACGTTTTTTTATAATTAAATAATTTTTAAAAGTTTAAGAGCAATAGATTGCGTTTGTCATTAAAGAAACCTAGTCTTAGGAAAATTCAACGATTACAAAAGTTTCATGATGACTTGATTTATGATTTCCCATGTAAAATTTTAAGTGAGGTGAGTGTACATTTACAAGCATAGACTCCATTTAGCATGTAAACCCATCTGATGTTAGCTATTTCAAATTTTGTCCACAATGTGTATTTTTCGGCAAATAAATATTCTTCATCTGCATCGCGAAGCTTGTTTAAAAATGTTTGTTCTTATTTAAATATTTAATATTCTTATTTAAATATTTAATATTCTTATTTAAATATTTAATATACTTATTATAGTCCGATGTAGGAGAAGATATAATCGATGCTAGCCCAGTAGTAGTAAATAAAAACTCAAAAGCTGGACGCTCCTGGGCTCACAGGTAAATCCATTGTAAGAAAAATTTTAAGGGAATAGGAAAATAATAAACACAACAAATTGCCAAGATTACAGAAGCGGCCACAATCACAGCAACAACAACAACACAACAATAAACCCAATAGCAAACGTAACAACAAACAAAAAAGATGATAAGCACGATACCGATAAATCCCTAGATGATATAGTCTTTGACCTTTCACCTTCGAAAAAGCCTGATTCAACTTTGGAACTTAATTCCTCTAAAGACTTACAACCTAAACAATTGAAATTTGATAATGAAATCTCTACAGATTGTACTGCCTTACCTAACGATCCAATGAGCATTTCAACCATTAAAAGTGATACATCAAGTGTGGTGATACTAACGCCTGGTACACAGGATATAATATTTGTAGATGATTGTAGTGATGTTGAGCATGAAATTGATACTATGGACTTATTGGCTAGCACAGATAATTTGGAGAAACTAAAGAAATATGAAAGTAAATAGTAAGTTGTTTGAAAAGAATAATTTTAAAGGCATTTTTAATCAATTATTTGCAGCATACAAAAACAACAAACTAAGGACATGGAAGGATTTAAAAAGCCACAGGATAAACTTCAATGTAATAAGGAAATAAAACCTTTAAATAAAATTAAACAAGAAAAAATAACACAAGAATTAAAGACTGCCACAGATATAAAAAAAGAAGAGAAACCAAGTTGTAGTACAAGTATAAAACCACAAAATCCTTTATTAGCTGAATTAGATACAGACGATGAAGAAGACTTTATGCCTAAACCTTTTATAATAAAACAAGAAAAGGATGTTGCGCCAACAACAAAGAAATTAACCATAAAACAACGCTTCAACATAGACTGTGAAGAATGCGAAAAAGTAAGTTTATGCACCAGCAATAAATACAACTTTTACTTATTTTCCCTCCCCACATCTTTGTAGTTAATCAACTTTTTAGATAAAGGTTTAACCGATCTACAAATTCAACAGCATTTAGAAAAGTCCCATCAACGTCACTATAACGATATTATGCGTCAAAATACCCCCAAAGATTTTTGGAATCCTTTCATATTATCCTTTCAGGCTGATGATCCTAGGAATGAGGTGTTAATCGATAATCGTTTCAAGGATAAGAAGTAAACAAACAACCAAGTAAGGCTTAATTATTAATTAAAACTATATTTATTTTATATTAAAACAGCATTTATCAAGGCCTTTGTGCCGGTAAATAGAAATAAAAAGAAAAAGTAAAAAAAGAAATGTATAAAATAAATTTACAAATTGCCACGTTTGGCTTGTTCAATTTCAATGGCGGTGAATAAAGATTTGAAGTTGCCAGCACCAAAACCCTGTAAATAAATATCAAAAATTTAATATAATTCCTGTTATAATAAACTTTCTTCAAACTTACATTATGGTTATGACGTTGTATAACTTCCAAAAACAATGTGGGACGATCTTGCATATTTTTGGTGAAAATTTGCAACAAATAACCATTTTCATCATAATCGATCAAAATGTTCAATTCCTTAAGAATTTTCATATCTTCCTTAATCTTAGTACGGCTGTGTTTAAGATTTTCAGTTAAAATTTCATAATAAGAATCGGGTATGGATAAAAATTCCATGCCTCTGGCTTTCAAGTTTCTAATGGCGGTGATAATATCACTGGTATTCAAGGCAATATGTTGGACACCAGCACCACCATAGTATTCTACATATTCTTGAATTTGTGATTTCTTTTTGCCCTTGGCTGGCTCATTAATGGGCATCTTAACAGTCTCTTCGTAGTTGGCCATGACAATGGATCTCAAGGCTGAGTATTCGGTATGAATTTGTGAATCATCCACAGACCAGAAACGATGGAATTGCAAAATGCGCTCATACCAAGCGGCTACACTTTCCATTTGCAAATCGGGTTGATTGCCGACCACATGGTCAATGAAGTCTAATTTAGCGGCGGGTAAATTTTCCAATAAAACATCTTTGGGCAGGGATTTGAAACCGGGCAAGAAAACACCGCGGTAATTGCTGCGATCCACAAAAGTGTGGGTGGTGTCACCGTACTAAAAAATAAAGAAAACATTTCTTAAAAATCTTTTAAATCATTTACAAACAACTCCCTACTTACTGTCTTAATGGTAGCAAATTTAACGGTACCATATTCATCGGTTTCCTCCCACAATTCTCTCACAACCTCAGCACCCTTTTCTTTGGCAAACTTGAAGATAGCTTCAATATCTTCTACCTGAAAGGCTACATCCTTAACACCATCACCGTGCTTCATGACATGATGACCGTGTTCCTCATCATCGGTGGTGTACGCAGAGACGAAAACAAATACAATTTTGTTTTGTTTAACAGCATGTTTGGCATATTTTCTATTGCCGGTCTCTAAACCTTGATAACCCAAGGGTGTAAAACCCATACGGGTGGTATAGAAGCTAGCGGCCTGTTTGGCATTGCCAACGTAAAAGGTTAAATGGTCGAAGGAAAGAAATTTACCGGCTTCTGGTTTTGCTCCTTTATCGGTATATGTGGTCTAGAAAAGGGGATAAACAGGAGATATATAATTAACTGCAAAAACAAGAACTGAAATAGAACTGAACTGGAAATGAACTAGAACTAAACTAGAACTGAACAATAACTGAACTAGAACTGCACTAAAACTGAACTAGAACAAAACTAGAAATGAACTAGAAATGAACTAGAACTGAACTAGAACTGAACTAGAACTGAACTAAAACTGAACTAGAACTTAACCAGAACTCAACTAGAACTGAACTAGAACTGAACTAGAACTGAACTAGAACTGAACTAGAACTGAACTAGAACTGAACTAGAACTGAACTAGAACTGAACTAGAACTGAACTAGAACTGAACTAGAAGTTAACCAGAGCTTAACTAGATCTAAACTAGAACTTAGCTAGAGCTGAACTAGAACTGAACTGGAACTGAATTAGAAATGATCTAGAACTGAACTAGAACTGATCTAGAACTGAACTAGAACTGAATTAGAACTGAACTAGATCTGAACTAGAACTGAACTAGAACTTAACTAGAACTGAACTAGAACTGAACTAGAACTGAACTAGAACTGAACTGGAACTGAACTAGATCTGAACTTGAACTGAACTAGAACTGAACTAGAACTGAACTAGAACTGAACTAGAACTGAACTAGAACTGAACTAGAACTGAACTAGAACTGAACTAGAACTGAACTAGAACTGAACTAGAACTGAACTAGAACTGAAACTAGAACTGAACTAGACTGAACTAGAACTGAACTAGAACTGAACTAGAAGTGAACTAGAACTGAACTAGAACTGAACTAGAACTGAACTAGAACTAGAACTGAACTAGAACTGAACTTGAACTCAATTGCAACTGAACTAGAAACTTAACCAGAGGTGAACTAGATCTAAACTAGAACTGAGCTAGAACTGAACTGAACTAGAACAGAACTAGAACTGAACTAGGACTCAACTAGAACTGAACTAGATCTGAACTAGAACTGACTTAGAACTGAACTAAAACTGAGCTAGAACTGAACTAGAGCTAAATTAGATCTCAACTACAACTGAACTAGAACTTAACTAGAGCTGAACTAAATCTAAACTAGAACTGAACTAGAACTGAACTAGAACTGAACTAGAACTGAACTAGAACTGAACTAGAACTGAACTAGAACTGAACTAGAATTGAACTAGAACTGAATTAGAACTGAACTAGAACTGAACTAGAACTGAACTAGAACTGAACTTGAACTTAACTAGATCTGAACTAGAACTGAACTAGAACTGAACTAAAACTGAACTAGAACTGAACTAGAACTGAACTAGAACTGAGCTAGAACTGAACTTGAACTTAACTGGAGCTGAACTAGAACTAAACTTGAACGGAATTAGCATTATATTAGAAATGAATTTGAGTACAACTCGAATTGAATTAAAACTTGAAATAAAAATTTAAATAAATTAGATATTTTAGATCTTTACACAAATAATTTTTCACTTTTGTTTCAAATAACTAATATTTTGTTAAAAATCTAAAATTGAGATGAATATACACTTTAAAAATTTAATTAATCTCTTAGAAATAGTAACATATTTCATAACAAACTATATTTTCCACTTAAATTTTTCATTAAATCATTTCTTAAGTCCTGTTAAAAATCCATTTTTTAAGTCCTTTTTATAGCTTCAATAACTTTTCACTTCATTTTATAAACTTATATAATCAAACACATGATTTGATGTTTTTATTTCTGGATTCTTCTATCACACCAACATACCATTATCACTTTACACTATAGTTTTTTAGTTGCTTAATATTTTATCGAAAAAATTAGAAATTATTGATTTTAATTAAAATTGATTCCACTTCTTAAGTTTAGTATCTTCGCTAAGACTATTTAAAGTTGAATGATAAGCGTCGAGCGGTTCATAGCCTCTTTTAAAGCATTTGGCGGCGCTTTATTTTCTTATAACTTTTAACTAGATTTAAATAATCAGGTGAAAATCCTGCTTTACCGCTCGTTTTATAGTGTTTTTTAAATTTGAATATTTATTTTGTTTTTTTTTTCTTATTATTATTATTTTTTTTTCTTTTTTTTTGAACAAACAAGTATTTTGTTTTTCTCGTTCTGTTACAGTTGTTATTTTTTCGATTTTATTATTTTTATTTTGATTTTAATATGCATAAATTATAAATTGAAATCAGCAGATATAGAGAGATACATACAGTTTTTGTTGCTAGTGGTAATAAAATATTGGAAAAAATAAAAATAAACACAAAGTGGTGGACAAAAAAATTGAGATATTTTTAGTAAATATTTAGAGTAAATTAACTTCTAGATGTTTTTCAAATATTATGGAGGCTTGGCTTAGAAACAGTTACGTTGGTTAATAATTTTGAACTGGTTTGAATCATCAATACAAATATTACGAAACGATCAATCAAAATCATTACAACTGAAGTGAAAATAAGCTAGAAGGATCCAAAACCAGAACTAGAACAGAACTAGAATAGGACTAGAATAGGACTAGAATAGGACTAGAACAGAACTAGAACAGAACTAGAACAGAACTAGAACAGAACTAGAACAGAATTAGAACAGAACTAGAACAGAACTAGAACAGAACTAGAACACAACTAGAACATAACTAGAACAGAACTAGAACAGAACTAGAACAGAACTAGAACAGAACTAGAACAGAACTAGAACAGAACTAGAACAGAACTAGAACATAACTAGAAGAACTAGAACAGAACTAGAACATAACTAGAACAGAACTAGAACAGAACTAGAACACAACTAGAACATAACTAGAACAGAACTAGAACAGAACTAGAACAGAACTAGACAGAACTAGAACAGAACTAGAACAGAACTAGAACATAACTAGAACAGAACTAGAACAGAACTAGAACATAACTAGAACAGAACTAGAACAGAACTGGAACAGAACTAGAACAGAACTAGAACATAACTAGAACAGAACTAGAACAGAACTAGAACATAACTAGAACAGAACTAGAACAGAACTAGAACAGAACTAGAACAGAACTAGAACAGAACTAGAACAGAACTAGAACAGAACTAGAACAGAACTAGAACAGAACTAGAACAGAACTAGAACAGAACTAGAACAGAACTAGAACTGAACTAGAACCGAACTAGAACAGAATTAGAACAGAACTAGAACAGACTAGAACAGAACTAGAACAGAACCAGAACTAGAACAGAACTAGAACAGAACTAGAACAGAACTAGAACAGAACTAGAACATAACTAGAACAGGACTAGAACAGAACTAGAACATAACTAGAACAGAACTAGAACAGAACTAGAACAGAACTAGAACAGAACTAGAACAGAACTAGAACAGAACTAGAACATAACTAGAACAGAACTAGAACAGAACTAGAACAGAATTAGAACAGAACTAGAACAGAACTAGAACAGAACTAGAACAGAACTAGAACAGAACTAGAACAGAACTAGAACAGAACTAGAACAGAACTAGAACAGAACTAGAACAAACTAGAACAGAACTAGAACAGAACTAGAACTAGAACAGAACTAGAACAGAACTAGAACAGAACTAGAACAGAACTAGAACAGAACTGAACTAGAACAGAACTAGAACAGAACTAGAACTGAACTAGAACCGAACTAGAACTGAACTAGAACTGAACTAGAACTGAACTAGAACTGAACTAGAACTGAACTAGAATGAACTAGAACTGAACTAGAATTGAACTAGAACAGAACTAGAAAGTACTAGAACGGAACTAGAACAGAACTAGAACAGAACAGAACTAGAACAGAACTAGAACAGAACTAGAACAGAACTAGAACAGAACTAGAACAGAACTAGAACAGAACTAGAACCAGAACTAGAACAGAACTAGAAACAGAACTAGAACAGAACTAGAACAGAACTAGAACAGAACTAGAACAGAACTAGAAGCAGAACTAAAAACAGAACTAGAACAGAACTAGAACAGAATTAGAACAGAACTAGAACAGAACTAGAACAAAACTAGAACAGAACTAGACACAGAACTAGAACAGAACTAGAACTGAACTAGAACTGAACTAGAATTGAACTAGAACGGAACTAGAACTGAACTAGAACTGAACTGGAACTGAAACTGAAACTGAACTGAACTAGAACTGAACTAGAACTGAACTAGGAACTGAACTAGAACTGAACTAGAACTGAACTGAACTAACTAGAACTGACTAGAACTGAACTAGAACTGACTAGAACTGAACTAGAACTGATACTAGAACTGAACTAGAACTGAACTAGAACTGAACTAGAACTGAACTAGAACTGAACTAGAACTGAACTAGAACTGAACTAGAATTGAACTAGAATTGAACTAGAACGGAACTAGAACTGAACTAGAACTGAACTAGAACTGAACTAGAACTGAACTAGAATTGAACTAGAACGGAACTAGAACTGAACTAGAACTGAACTGGAACTGAACTAGAACTGAACTAGAACTGAACTAGAACTGAACTAGAACTGAACTAGAACTGAACTAGAACTGAACTAGAACTGATCTAGAACTGAACTAGAACTGAACTAGAACTGAACTAGAACTGAACTAGAACTGAACTAGAACTGAACTAGAACTGAACTAGAACTGAACTAGAATTGAACTAGAACTGAACTAGAACTGAACTAGAACAGAAATAGAACAGAACTAAAACTGAACTAGAACTGGACAAGAACTCATCTAGAACTGAATTAGAACTGAACCAGAACTGAACTAGAACTGAACTAGAATTGAACTAGAATAGAACTGAATTGGAACTGAACTAGAGTAGAACTGAACTGGAACTGAACTAGAGCTGAACTAGAACTGAACTGGAACTGAACTAGAACTAAGCTAAAACTAAAGAAGAACTGAATTAGAACTGAAATAGAAAATAACTAGAAATGAACTAGATTTGTACTTAAAATGAAAAACTGGAAGTTTCTGTGATATTCATAGATGATTTGATAATTTTTCCCCAAAATTTTTACTACATCTTCTTTTCAACTTTCTTTCCATCTTCCTCCAAATCCAAAAATTTTTGAACATAATCTTTTCAAAATTTTATTACTTTAACAAATTTTTTATACTTTAATATTAATTCAGTTTCTTTTTTTTAACAATTTGCATAAATTTCTATTCTAATTTGTTTATTTTGTGGTAATAATAAAAATATCTTGTTTTCTGTTGCTTTAAATACTAATTTAAATAACAAACAGGTGTAAATATTATTTTTATAAAAAATGTTTTGTTTTTCTATATTTTGCACATTGCAGCAACCTGCCCACCAACATTCATTGAAAAAGAATAATTTGAGTCGTGTGTCAGCAGCAAAAGAATTAATAAAATCACTTAATCATACCACTTCTGACGAAAAACCAAAATTTAAACAAATATTTATGTGAAGTAAATGTTCTCAAGGAGTTTTTTTATACAGGTTTAAAATTTGTTGCTTTTCAAATTTTAAATGAACAACATGTGCTGCCGGTTTAAATTTTGGGAGCTCATGAATATTTATGTCAAAAACAACAACGTGCTTTTGAGGTGAGTTTTTTTATTTAAATTTTCTTATTTTTTTTTTTGTTAATTTAAACAGTTAAATTGGAGTAATAAAAAATAAAATTAGAAATGAAAAACAAGTTTCCCTTTAATGTTTTTTTTTTTAAGTTTATCATAAAATGTTAATGAACTTAGAAAAAAAACGAAAAGTAACAATTTTAAAATGTTTGCCAAAATGGAAATTTTGAATATAATTTTCCCAGAAGGTGTTATCAAATAGAATAGAATATTTTATTGGGATTGAACTGAAACAAGAACAGAACTAGAACAGAACTAGAACAGAACTAGAACAGAACTAGAACAGAACTAGAACAGAACTAGACCAGAACTAGAACAGAACTAGAACAGAACTAGAACAGAACTAGAACAGAAACTAGAACAGAACTAGAACAGAACTAGAACAGAACTAGAACAGAACTAGAACACAACTAGAACTGAACTAGAATAGAACTAGAACAGAACTAGAACTGAACTAGAAACAGAACTAGAACAGAACTGGAACAGAACTGGAACAGAACTAGAACTGAACTAGAACTGAACTAGAACTGAACTAGAACTGAACTAGAACAGAACTAGAACAGAACTAGAACAGAACTAGAACTGAACTAGAACTGAACAGAACTGAACTAGAACTGAACTGAACTATGAACTGAACTAGAACTGAACTAGAAACTGAACTAGAACTGAACTAGAACTAGAACTGAACTAGAACTGAACTAGAACTGAACTAGAACTGAACTAGAACTGAACTAGAACTGAACTAGAACTGAACTAGAACTGAACTAGAACTGAACTAGAACTGAACTAGAACTGAACTAGAACTGAACTAGAACTGAACTAGAACTGAACTAGAACTGAACTAGAACTGACTGAACTAGAACTGATCTGAACTGGAACTGAACTAGAACTGAAATAGAACTGAACTAGAACTGAACTAGAACTGAACTAGAACTGAACTAGAACTGAACTAGAACTGAACTAGAACTGAACTAGAACTGAACTAGAACTGAACTAGAACTGAACTAGAACTGAACTAGAACTGAACTAGAACTGAACTAGAACTGACTAGAACTGAACTAGAACTGAACTAGAACTGAACTAGAACTGAACTAGAACTGAACTAGAACTGAACTAGAACTGAACTAGAACTGAACTAGAACTGAACTAGAACTTAACTGAACTAACTAGAACTGAACTAGAACTGAACTAGAACTGAACTAGAACTGAACTAGAACTGAACTAGAACTGAACTAGAACTGAACTAGAACTGAACTAGAACTGAACTAGAACTGAACTAGAACTGAACTAGAACTGAACTAGACTGAACTAGAACTGAACTAGAACTGAACTAGAACTGAACTAGAACTGAACTAGAACTGAACTAGAACTGAACTAGAACTGAACTAGAACTGAACTAGAACTGAACTAGAACTGAACTAGAACTGAACTAGAACTGAACTAGAACTGAACTAGAACTGAACTAGAACTGAACTGAACTGACTAGAACTGAACTAGAACTGAACTAGAACTGAACTAGAACTGAACTAGAACTGAACTAGAACTGAACTAGAACTGAACTAGAACTGAACTAGAACTGAACTAGAACTGAACTAGAACTGAACTAGAACTGAACTAGAACTGAACTAGAACTGAACTAGAACTGAACTAGAACTGAACTAGAACTGAACTAGAACTGAACTAGAACTGAACTAGAACTGAACTAGAACTGAACTAGAACTGAACTAGAACTAACTAGAACTGAACTAACTGAACTAGAACTGAATAGAACTGAACTAGAACTGAACTAGAACTGAAACTAGAACTGAACTGGACTGAACTAGAACGAACTAGAACTGAACTAGAACTAGAACTGAACTAGAAAAGAAGTAAACTAGAAATGAAATAGAATTGAACTTGAACTACATCTTAACTAGAAGTGTACTGAAATTAATGTAGAAGTGAACTAGAACTAAGTTTTTTATAGATTTTTATAAATCTTTCTTTCAATTTTTTTTAAACATTTGCGTTACTAAGCCCCCTTTTAAAAAACGCAATTCATTGCCATATGTTTTCATTATATAATTGCTGTTATTTTATTCTATTAACATTTTTTAATCCAGTTTTAAAACTGATTTACATAAAACAAATTCATAGCAACAACTTTATAAATTCATAAATTGTAAAGCAAAAATATTTGTCAACAACTTGTTTATAAACAAAATTCTTTACAAACAACTTTAGTTGTAAAATTCATCAACAACATCTGGTTTTGTTAACAACAATAAAATTTTAAATAATAGTTGTTTAAAGTAAATCCCCTTTACTCTTCTAAAAAAGCGCACCTTAATTTCGTTAAACTCTCTTGGTGTTTTCCAATTGCTCTTTCATTTCCGCCGTGAGTTTAAAGCAGACTCTTACTAATACTGTTAACTAAATTGTTTTCTCTTCTCTCTAACAAATCAAATATATACTAACAGCATCTGACTTAATAAAAATAATAATTTTATTAAATTTTACAGGTTCTTCAATATCCGTTGCTTCCATTAACCCTAAAACTTTCCTACTCTTTCTCCTCATCTTCTTTTAATTTCAAATTTACCGTAATTAATATTCCACCATTGATATCAACAAGCTGTAATATACTCTCCCTCTCATCCACCATTTATTGTTGTTGTTAAGCAAAAAATTGACAACAATTGGTTGAATAAATGAATAGGTATTAAAACGCCGGTAAATAAAATCAAATTTGCATTATTTATGGGTTGTGAGTAGGTGTTAGAGGTGTTAAAGATGAAATTTATTACAAAAGGCTAATCAAGGTTTTCAGAGATATTGAAGGCCAAATTAAGTGCAATAGAATTGAATTAAAACGTGTTGAAACTTGAAAATTTTCAAGAGAATTTGAATTGTCAAACATTTAAATTCTGTTTAATAATTAACAGAACTAGAAGAACTAGAAATAGAACAGAACTGAGCAACTAGAACAGAACTAGAACAGACTAGAACAGAACTAGAACAAACTAGAACAAACTAGAACAGAACTAGAACAGAACTAGAACAGAACTAGAACAGAACTAGAACAGAACTAGAACAGAACTAGAACAGAACTAGAACAGAACTAGAACAGAACTAGAACAGAACTAGAACAGAACTAGAACAGAACTAGAACAGAACTAGAACAGAACTAGAACAGAACTAGAACAAACATACAGAACAGAACAGAACTAGAACGAACTAGAACAGAACTAGAACAGAACTAGAACAGAACTAGAACAGAACTAGAACAGAACTAGAACAGAACTAGAACAGAACTAGAACAGAACTAGAACAGAACTAGAACAGAACTAGAACAACTAGAACAGAACTAGAACAGAACTAGAACAGAACTAGAACAGAACTAGAACAGAACTAGAACAGAACTAGAACAGAACTAGAACAGAACTAGAACAGAACTAGAACAGAACTAGAACAGAACTAGAACAAACTAGAACGAACTAGGACTAGAAACTAGAACTAGAACAGAACTAGAACTAGAACTAGAACTAGAACTGAACTAGAACTAGAACTGAACTAGAACTGAACTAGAACTGAACTAAACTGAACTAGAAAGAACTAGAACTGAACTAGAACTGAACTAGAACAGAACTAGAACAGAACTAGAACAGAACTAGAACAGAACTAGAACAGAACTAGAACAGAACTAGAACAGAACTAGAACAGAACTAGAACAGAACTAGAACGAACTAGAACGAACTAGAACAGAACTAAAAGAACTAGAACAGAACTAGAACAGAACTAGAACAGAACTAGAACAGAACTAGAACAGAACTAGAACAGAACTAGAACTAACTAGAACGAAACTAGAACAGAACTAAAAGAACTAGAACAAACTAGAACAGAACTAGAACGAACTAGAACACTAGAACAGAACTAGAACAGACTAGAACAGAACTAGAACAGAACTAGAACAGAACTAGAACAGAACTAGAACTAGAACAGAACTAACAGAACTAGAACAGAACTAGAACAGAACTAGAACAGAACTAGAACAGAACTAGAACAGAACTAGAACAGAACTAGAACAGAACTAGAACAGAACTAGAACAGAACTAGAACAGAACTAGAACAGAACTAGAACAGAACTAGAACAGAACTAGAACAGAACTAGAACAGAACTAGAACAGAACTAGAACAGAACTAGAACAGAACTAGAACAGAACTAGAACAGAACTAGAACAGAACTAGAACAGAACTAGAACAGAACTAGAACAGAACTAGAACAGAACTAGAACAGAACTAGAACAGAACTAGAACAGAACTAGAACAGAACTAGAACAGAACTAGAACAGAACTAGAACAGAACTAGAACAGAACTAGAACAGAACTAGAACAGAACTAGAACAGAACTAGAACAGAACTAGAACAGAACTAGAACAAACTAGAACAGAACTAGAACAGAACTAGAACAGAACTAGAACAGAACTAGAACAGAACTAGAACAGAACTAGAACAGAACTAGAACAGAACTAGAACAGAACTAGAACAGAACTAGAACAGAACTAGAACAGAACTAGAGCAACTAGAACAGAACTAGAATTTTATAACTTAAGCTAGAGTACCTTTCCGTATGTTCCATATGGGCGGGACTACTTCACTTTACCAAATACTCAAGTGTGAATATCCGTACCATTCTTCAACTCATGTCAAAACATTTACATTTTCACCAATATGACAACATACACTTTACTTGGTACCAATATTTTGATGACTTTAACCTGAT